TTCTGCTAGGCGTACTCCTAGTGCTCGTTTGGTTGTGCCAATGTATACTTTATTGCAGTCTTCGTTTTCTCTCCCTTTGCATGTTATTTCATATACTACATTACTTTGTTCGTGGGAGTCAATTGGGTATTTTGTTCTTGTGAAAATCGAAGACAGCGTGCTGTTTGATCTGTAAGCTAAAATCATGTTTTGGTTGTTGGTATCTATTTCGTGGTCAAGTTTTTGGTGGAATTTAGGAACGTATGTGACACTGTGATATCGCTTTGTTACATTTGTTGTTTTACTTGTCGGTATTTGGCTGTTTGTTGTCTATTTCTTTTATTTTCTGTGAAAGTAGACTTTGTATTAGGTGGTGCGGGTAGTTGTTGCTTTTTAGAATTTTGCTTATCTTATTTTTATTTGTGTCTCTGAATTGTTTGTGGCTTATTGTTAGTACTTTATGTATGAGATTTTTCGCTGTGTTTACTTTGTATTTTAAGGGTTGCGCAGACAAGAAGTTTATTAGGCGTCTGGAGGATATGGGCTTTGAGTACCAATCTAATAATATGGAGTAATTTTTCTTATGGATCATTACATCTAGGAACGGGATGCGGAAATGAGTTTCTGGTTCCATTGTGAATTGCAATTTCGGATGGTATTGGTTAAGTATCTTTAAAATCGTATCCACGTCGTTTCGTCTTACTATAGCAAATATATCGTACACGTACTTTACCATAAATTTTATGTCAATGTTGAAGTTTCTTTTTAGATCCATAAAGGTATTGGCCAGTAGGTCGTCCATGACTATGTCGGCTATCGTGGGTGAGAGGGGGTTTCCCATCGGCATCCCAAAAGTTTGCGCGTAGAAATTTCCATTGTGTGTGAAATAGTTATTGTCGTTCAGACAGAAATTCAAAATGTTGTGGAACTTGTTTTTATTAATTTTCTTATGTGGTTGAATCGCGTCCCACTTAGACAAAATGATTTTGGTTCCTAAGTGCGTTGGAATGTTTGTGAACAGAGATATCACATCAAAAGAGACTAGTAAATCTTCCTCTTTTATCCGGATGTCTTCAAGTCTTTCTTTCAGTTGAAAAGCATTTTTTATATTATATTTTTCTGAAACAAAGTTGTTGAGGACTTTTCCTACATATTTTGACAAACCATAAATATTTACTGACGACGAAATGGCCCGTAAAGGCAAATCAGGTTTGTGTGTTTTTGGCAACCCGTAAAGTCTCGCTTCCGTCGCGGCGGCGCATGCCAACTGTTGTTTTTCTCTGAAATTAATTATTTTGCTTTTGTATAGTTCGTCAACCAAGGCATTGTTTTTTCTCTGTAGTGCTGTTGTTGGGTCGTTTCTTATTGTTTTGTATGTGTTTTTGTCTTCAAGTAGTTTTTTCATTTTCTCCTCATAGTCTGCTTTGTAAAGTACCACTGTTTTATTTCCCTTGTCGGCCTCCGTTACTATTATTTCATTTTTGTGTCGTTTTAAGAGTGTTTTTGTTTTATTAAATGTTTCTAAACTAAACCTTTCGGGTGCATTGTGTTTTGTGCTGCGTTTGAACTCGATGATCCGATTACTCAGCTTGCATCTAGCTATTTCTTTGGCTCTATTGTCTTCTATTGGTTAAATTCTTTGTACCATTTCTGCTATCATTTGGACCGGTTTGAAACTAGTTTTTGTTGTCGGTATTGCGAATTTTCTTCCCAGGGATAATAACCATTTAGATCCTTCAGGAAATTCTATTGTGGTTTTATTTACGAACCAATCGTTGTTTAGATTTATTCCTAGCTTTTTAAGTTGTTGATGTTTTAGCTTTTCTAACTTGGACAAATTTTCGGTGACATGGTATTAATGTCTGATTTCTAAGTTTAATTTTTTCTTCAGAAACAGCTATTTTGTTTTTTCTACTTTTGCTTTCATTTTCGGGGACGTGGTATTTATGTTTGTGTTTTTTACTGCGTTTGTCAAGTAGTTGGGTAAAAGCTCATATCGTCTGCATTCTAATAGAAGTTCAAGCTGTGTCATCTGTTTTGCCAGCTTTTGTGTTTGTTTGGTTAAGTGTTTTAGGGTTATGCAGGTGTGCTCCCCGTATTTGTATTTGATGTGCTTGTAAAAATCCTTCATGTTTCTTTTATGTTTATATGTTTAATTGTTGATGTAGATAAAGGGATTACTTCGGCAGGCCTTCCGATTTTGAACAATATGACGATGAGTTGACGATCAATTTGTTGAATTTAATAGTGTTTTGTGTTTTAGGCTATTTGATCGAGTAAGTTTCTGTGCAAGAAAAGGCTTTTTTCTTCACTTTCCAGCCCGACGTTTCGCTGACCTTCTCAGCATCTTCAGGGGCAATTTCTTTATTAAAAACATCAACAAGAATACATACAAACAGATCGTTAGTTTTAAGCATCATATGAAAAATTGAATAAATTACATTTATAGGCCCGAACACAATGTTGATTTGAACTTATATGAAGAACATAAACGTTTTTTAACACAATTACTGGACTACGAAATTTTGTGGAACATTAATAAATATAGGGTGTCCCAGAAGTAACCTGCCAAACTTTAGGGGAAGGTAGGTGGGCGGTGAGCTCTCTGATAAACGAAAAATTTTCAGGTAAAAGTGTTACCGTTTTTGAAATATTTACATTTTTTTAATTTAAAAAAAATCGTGCCTTTTCATGTATTTTCTTTAACTGCATCTACAAACCTGGCTATACTTAGTAAATTTTTTGTGTAAAATACTTCGCTAGTTGCTTCTCAATACTAAAATGCAATGTTGTTAAAATATATTAAGGAAAATTAGGACTATTTTGGTATTTTTAACTTTTTGATATTTTCTTCCCCAACTTTGACTAGCTCTGGTGAAAAAAAAAGTACTGAGCTATAACTTTACATTACACAAAAAAATTGCTCATTTAATAAAGATTTCAGAAAGGTGCCACTCTTACTGTTTCGAATAGAAAAAAAAACAAGTTATAGCCGCTTTTGTAGGCAAAGGACTGAGACACGCCATAATGTATTTAATAGATTTAAATTGAAGTTGCTCTTGTTGCCGACCAATGACATGCTACGGCATGTACAAAGGTACACTATTACCTGCTCCTGACATTATTTGATGTTACTTACCGGAATTAGTGAAAGTGGATTTTGTGAAATTGGACCCTTCGAACATTGTGTTATTAATACTATGACAGAGAACACGCAGTATACATATGCGGATATTCACCTAATTTACGGTGAAGCTTGCTGTAATGCCAGGGCTGCTCAAAGACTCTATGCAGGGCGATACCCCAATCGTCGGCATCCGGGTCGTGAAGTATTCGCCCGGACCCATAAATAAATATATGAAGGTAAATGATTTTTACACCTTTCTTGTTTGCTTGCTTGTTAACTATAATTTTTCACTTTTTTAAGGTCGCATACCTGAAAGGCGTGGCGGCGAAACAGGACGTCCTGCAAAGGTAGATGTTGAAGTTGTGTTAGAGGAAGTGGAACTAGGTCCATCGACTTCAGTGAGATTGATGGAAAGACGGACGGGAATACCAAAAACTACAGTTCACAAAGCTTTAAAAGACCATCGATTTCATCCCTACCTTATTCAACGTGTTCAGGCTCTACAAGAAAGAGATTACCTGTCGAGGGTTAGATTTTGCCGCGAAATGTTGTGAATGCATGAATCAGACCCCAACTTTTTTAATAAAATAATTTGGAGCGATGAATCATCATGCAAACGTGATGGTTATTTTAATTTACATAACCTTCACAGTTGGCAGATAGACAATCCTCACGAAATGAGAGAAGATCGTTCGCAGTACCGGTACAAAATAAATTTATGGTGCGGTATTTTTAATTGTCAGATATTGGGACCTGTGGAACTGCCGCCAACGCTCAACTCTCACAGTTATTTAGAGTTCCTTCAGGAACGGCTTCNATCGGAAGATGAAATTAAATGCGTATTACAATTCGAATAAAGCTACATCACAATTTTATAATTGGAATAATTTAGATAAATTTTCAAATAATAAGTCAGTTTCACGCTAGTTCTTTTAAAGTAAATTTGTGCATAACATTTAGATATCTACTATTTGTATGTTCCACAGCATGCTTTCGATAAACATCGACTTCACATCACTGCGGCTGTTCTGGCTATTTCACACAATTAACAAGAAAATGATACCTTATTCTTTTGCATAATCATGCAATGAAAATAAAAATTACATAAACGGATGATCAAACTTGATATTATTTAATAAAAATCTAATTTTTCCAAAATATCGTAAAGAAAAATGGATACATTTTCACACTCGTTTTGCTATATCGTAAACTAAGTGGAAACTACGTAATAGAAGTCTGAAATGCGACTATGAATAGAGGTAAATTTTAAGTTGGTACTTAAATTTAAGTTGCAACTTTGTTAGTTTCGACTTAGTTGCTGGACTATGAATACGCGCCATTGAGTTAAGATCTCTAAAAGCGTCTTTTCTTAAAAGGTGCCGAGCTTGTATTAGAGTAGAAGGTCGCCAATTTGAGCATATTTTATCAATAAATTAATAAATTTTTCTTTTAACAACTCATGTATATTTTATTTCACGTGAACCCATCCTTCACAAAAAATATTGATAGATATAGCCCTTGTTATAGACTCTAGTTCGAATTTCGGTGAGTAACATAAAATAATGTCAGGAGGAGGTACTAAAGTACCTTTGTACTATTTAGGATGTCATTGGTCGGTAACAAGAGCAACTTAAATTTAAATCTATTAAATACATTCTATCGTGTCACAGTCCTTTGCCCACAAAAGCGGCTAAAACTTTTTTTTTCTATTCGAAACAGTAAGAGTGGCACCTTTCTAAAATCTTTATTAAATGAGCAATTTATTTATGTAATGTAAAGATATAGCTCAGTACCTTTTTTCACCAGAGATAGTCTAAGTTTGGGAAGAAAATATCAAAAAGTTAAAAATTCCAAAATAGTCCTAATTTTATGATGGTTCCTTGATATATTTTAATTACATTGCATTTGAGTTTGGAGCAGCAACTAGCTGGAAGTATTTTACATAAAAAATTTACTAAGTATAGTCTGGTTTGTAGATGCAGTTAAAGAAAATACATGAAAAGGCATTATTTTTTTAATTCAAAAAAATTTAAATATTTCAAAAACGGTAACACTTTTACCTGAAAATTTTTTGTTTATCAATTCCTCATCTGTAAAAATTAAGACTGACAGTTTGACAGCAAAATATAGGTAACCATAGTCATTCCAAAGTTATAAACAGTGTTGCCGCGCATAATTTTTAGTGGTAGCCAAATTCCTTTAAAAAAAGGGCTAAAAAAGAGCTAAAAAAAGTCGTTGTGGCTAAAAATGGTAGCTAAAATGTTTTACTTACATATAAATATATAAGTATACACCAAAATATTTTCAATAAGTAATGGTATATAAAACCAATGAACTTTGGAAAAAAGCTAATATTTTATCCAACCAAAAACCTTTTTGTATAAAAGGGGAAATGTACGGCACCATCTTGCTGGTTCCATCAAGTGATTGTACCATCAGGCTCGAAGCATATAACTAACCAGCATGCTGGTACAATATTTATTTCTTTACAAATGAGGTCGAGGAAAGATCGAAATGATTAGAGCCGAAATTTCACAATTTTTCTAGCATTTTGTTAAACATTGTTTTTTTTTTGTAATTCACAACTGCAATTTCGTGAACGTAGTCTTCCACAAACATGGCTTTGACTCATATAGTGCAATAAATTTCCGCCAAAATATTTTTTATTTAGAAAATTTTGCTAATTTCACCACTAACGACACCAGCATGCTGGTACAATCACATCACGAGAACATACACGGTCAATCGACTTGATGGGTCATTTAACAAATGTAGCATATTAAGGGCCGTGAACTTATCTATTTTAAACTATATTTAAATCGTTAACAGATAAGTTAACAGCCCCAACACTTTTACAGTATGTATGTATAAAAGCGTAAGGAACATACAATACAGATATGTATATACAGTGAAATTCCTCATAACCGGACACTCACGGTCGCAGTGTTTTTGTCCGGTTATGGGAGCTGTCCGCTTATAGGGGATGAGGTCAAAAAATATATACATACTACACATATAAAATTCATTGTAGTTTATTTAAGAAATTTTTCGAAGCAAAGAATATTTAAATACATACTTTAGTATTACATATACATACATAAATATATCAATTAAATACATTGTACAAGTCCTTACATTTCAATATCGACTAGTTTGTTTGAAAAAATTGTGTGATGCTTGTTTGTTTTAACATTGATTCCTTTAATTTAAAATTTTCATTTTCAAAGTGACTCTCGATATTTTTAACCTGCTGAAAAGCTACATAGTCATTTTTTGCAAATTGTTTCAAGCGCTCAACAAGTTTTAAAGCCTCATCATATGATGTTATGGGGTCACTTATTTCTTCTGAAGGTTCATCTTCTGAATCACTTAAGTCCATAGTATCATCTGGTTCGTCAAATTGAATTTCTATATTGTTGTCCTCAGTGAAAACATTTTGATCTATTTGGAGAAAACCTTCGAAATCATTTGCCAAATCTAGTCCTTCCTGAAGCCTAGCATAGACTGCCAGTGGAATGTCATCTTCGGGATCAAAATCTGAAGGATCCTCTAAAGTTTCCAAAAATCCTGCTTTACGGAAGCAGTTTCGGATTGTTGTGGCTTCCACTTTATGCCAAGATGCTTTGATGAAATACACAGCTTCCAGTACATTAATCGATTTTGAGAGCTCTGAGGCTGAACTTGTATCGCCAATTTTAGTTATCAAGTGTTTTAAAACTAAGCTTCTATACAAAGTTTTAAAATTTTGGATTATACCCTGATCAAGGGGTTGGCTAACTGCCGTTGTATTTGGTGGCAAGAAACAAATTTTTATGTTGGTCAAGTCTAATTCCTTTGGATGAGAAGCCGCGTTATCTAGAAACAAGATAATTTTTCGATTCTGGGCTTTCATTCTTCGATTGAACTGCTGCAGCCATTCGCTCATCACTTCTCGAGTCATCCATGCTTTTTTATTAGACTTCCAATCCACTGGAAGTTTTGCAATTGGAACATGTTTAAAGGCTCGAGGACGGGCTGCTTTCCCTATAACCAAAAGCGGCTCCTTATCTCCAGCCATATTAGCTCAGAACAAAATTGTGAGTCTTTCCTTTGATAGCTTACCTCCCACACATTTTTCGGATTTAAGAGCGAGGGTTTTGTCCGGTAAGGCACGAAAGAAAAGCCCACTCTCATCGGCGTTGTAAATGTCTTCAGGCTTGTACCCATTCAACAGAGTTGGCAGCTTTGTCCGAAACTGTTCGACATCATCCTGATTCACATCTGCAGCTTCACCAGATATGCATTTGAAGGAAACATTATTCCTTAATCGCCATTTATTTAGCCATCCATCCGAAGCATTAAAATTAGGTACCCCCAGTTTTCCTGCAATTTCCATTGCCTTTGCTTTCAAAATGGGACCAGAAATCGGAATTTTTTGACTCCTAGCCTTAGCGAACCAATCAAAACACATCCTGTCTATATCCGAGCCGCCTTCTTTAAGGAAACTTCGCTTTTGGTGAACATTAGATCCAGACTCCCATTTAGAACGAATTTTTTCTTTATTTTTATTAATTTCAGCAGCTTGCGTTTTGCCAATATTGAACCTTTTAAAGCAAAGGAAACGTGTACCTACAAGTTAAATTATGGATTCACTATACTTTACTATTTTGCAATTCCACGTACTGATAACTTTTCTTTTTCGAAAACATTAATAATTTCCATTTTCTCTTTAATAGAAAGTAGCTTCTTTTTCGGTGCCATATTATTACGAACTTTGAACGCAACCACTCGCATGCAACTTACTTGACAAACTGAATAGAAAACCACCTTTTACTTGACACGCACGGCTTGAGTGTGTGCATACATGTTAAAAGGGGAATCCCCTATTTCATTTTTATAATGAACAACAAAGCTTGCTTGCGATGTTTTTGAATTTTGTCCGTTTATGAGAAATTTTTTCTTGGAAATGGCTTGAAATACAGTGTCCGCGTCCGGTTATTAGAGCGTCCGTTTATTAGAATGATATTTGTATGAAAAAAGGATTGAAAAACCTGTGTACACAAAATTTGTCCGGTTATTGGAGCTGTCCGGTTATAAGGACTGTCCGTCTTGGGGAATTTCACTGTACATCAGTTTTTCTTAGTTTAAAAATTCATCTCTTATATAAATAAAAAAAAAAACAAATTAAGCATATACAACTTTTTCATGCCAAGTATGAATAAATTCTAAAAAGGGCTAAAAAAGGGCTAGGGGCAATTTTAAATTTATGTGGCCAAAAAAAGTATGTGGTAGCGAAATCTAGCCACCAAAGGGCTAAAACGGCAACACTGGTTATAAATAATATTTATTCCTGTAATGTTTTTTTCATAGGAAGGCCAAGGCAGGTATGGGGACGACTGGAGGCTCACCTGCTTCTTGGCATTTATTTGAGCAGGTGCATTAAATAATTGGTGGTTTCTCCATCAATAACGTGGAACAGCTGATAGAAGATAATTTTGAAGGTAATTGCTAGTTATTCAATTTACATGATCAAAATTGTAGGCATATTCAAAATCATTTTTATTATTAAAAACTAATCTATATACATAAATTCAAAGTACTCATTTTCAGATTCGATGTCATCATCCCCGACAAATATCTCGCCGTTTTCTCCTTCTCCTCCCCAGCTGTCGCCATCACCGTCGTGTTCATCACCATGCCATAAGGATCGAGAGGGGAACACTTCCCTCATCCATATCAAGCGCATCAACATCTAGCAGATCTGGAAAACAAAAACAGATGGATCGATTAGTGACGATTTGTGAGGGTATCCAGAGCAATTTTTTCGAGGCTATGGAAAAATTTACAAAATCGAACGATGAATTGGTCGAAATAGAGAAGGCAAAGTTAGTCGCAGTGCAAGAACTGCAGAGGGATGCAAAAAGGCTGACGGATGGAGTACTTGATTTTAGTATGTAGTAATTAGACTGAAATGTTTTGTTTTTATTTTTGAAGTAGATATTAAGGAAATAGTAAGTAGGGTTTTGAGAATTGGACAGAATTTTTTGTTTACATTTTTGAAGTAGATTTTAAGTATATAGAAAGTAAGATTTTGTGAAATGAAGTGCTTGATTTGCAATTGTGATACCATTTTTCTAGAGTACCTTTTTCCGTTTTTAAAACTAAAAGTTTTTTTTTTGTACTTCGCGTCAAGATAAAAAGACATGAACTGAAATAAACGTGATATTAACTTACTGAAATATGAACAGAACGCATTGATTACACTGTGAGACAAATGGTAGGGGTCAGTGATCGGGAAGGGTTCAAACTACCGGGGAAAGTTATATCGGAAAAAAAGAAGTTATACGTGTCCCGGCGTTTCGCTGGGTTACGTCTAGGAATCGAGATATATCGATTTGAAGTTAGTAACTATCATATAGGGGAAATTGTCACCTTTGGTGGTCTTTNTATCTCTATTTTGACTGTCGCATAGTGTTATTGATTCCGCTTCTGCTAAGGTTTTGTGCGAACAAGCCTTTATAATAGAATTTGCATTATCAATTCTAACTAATTGACCAAACGCATTTTCCACCAATCTACGAGATTTTGAAAGTTGGTAATTGGTAGCTTTTTGTGAAGGCGTCTTATCCAAACTGAATGGAAAAGGCTTCATTAAATATTTGCAAAAACGAAAGGCAGAATCTCCAAGAATGTCAACTGGGATGTCAAAGTTTCCTAAATTTGTGCTCATTGTGTTCAGAAATGAACAGTCCTCCAGTCCCCGTTTTTAAGCTGGACTTTTCAAAGATTTGGGAATCATTACATCTTCCTGGACTTCCCACGTTGATGTATAAAAAACGATATCTTTAAAAGAAAAGAAAAAGTTATGTGCTATGTAATTTACATTCGGATGAATATGCATATACGCAAAATAGAATATCTAAAAAATTTCATGCTGGGTACCTTGCATCAACAAGTGCTAGTAACACTGTGGAATACCATCCTTTATAATTGATATAATCGACTGCTTCTTCCTGTCTGGGATGAACTTCTATGTGGCATCCATCTGAAAAATATATTCGCTACTTAGTTGGGTAAAAATAATAATTTTAAGGGCTTACCAAGAGCACCCATACACTGAGGGAATCCAATGTGTTTAAACCCATTAACACAGTCTTCAATTATTTCTCTACTTAGGGGAAAATGTTTGAAATACATTTCCACACTTCCCTACAAAATTCCAAGAGAGCTGCTCATACTGTTGATTTGGCCACTCCAAACAAGTTCGCAATGCTACGATATTCTGCTGAGGACCCAAGAGCATATAGGGCGATGGCAACTCGTTTCTCCAAGCAGATGGTATTATGGAATCTTGTTTCCTTTCTCTTTAGGTGATCCAGAAAACTGCATAATTTTTTAAAAGCACTTCTATTCAGTCTAAAATTTTGTCTGAAGTTATTATCTCGACTCCCCAAAACGTACTTCCTCGATTCTGTTAAACGTTGGATTTATAAGTATATGTATATTAGGGTGGGTCAATTAAAAAAGTTGATTCATATCCTTGCGATTCTGGTACTATGGACCATAACAAACCTTTTCGCCCAAGGAACCATACCTCTAAAATCATTTTCGAGCCTGCCAAAATTTTTTGGTAGATATTTTCAAAAATACCAAATAAACGACCTCTTAGATGCATTTCAAAGACAAAAAAATATTATTGAAAATGTGTATACGGGGGTTTTTTGGGTCAGAGAATCCATTTTTCGCATTAATTTTTAATTTTGATCGCAAAAAAATAAAAAAAATAAAAAAAAATAAAAATAAAAAAATAAAGCAAAATAAAGAAATAAATATTTTTCCATTATTTTAAATTATTAGAAAGTCAAAGATTTGACTATTTGAGCAATAAGTTCGTCAATTTCCCCCAAAAAAAGTGAAAAATCCAAAAAATTGTTCAAAAACGCACTCTGGTGGCGATCAAAATTAAAAATTAATGCGAAAAATGGATTCTCTGACCCAAAAAACCCCCGTATACACATTTTCAATAATATTTTTTTGTCTTTGAAATGCATCTAAGAGGTCGTTTATTTGGTATTTTTGAAAATATCTACCAAAAAATTTTGGCAGGCTCGAAAATGATTTTAGAGGTATGGTTCCTTGGGCGAAAAGGTTTGTTATGGTCCATAGTACCAGAATCGCAAGGATATGAATCAACTTTTTTAATTGACCCACCCTAATACATACATACATAAGTGATTATAATTTTATGTTCATACCTGTTGTGGAGCAAAGGTTCTTTCTTTTGTTGAAAGTTCCAAGTGGATGTATTCCAACATCACAACTTGCACGTTTTTATACAGAATTAGCATCTCCATAAAGCGTGCACGTCTTTTTATTAATTCATGTATGGATGTGTTTATTTCTTAATTCTTAATAATAATTCTTAAATTTTCGCGTAATTGATGGTCACAGACACATATAATTTCACCATTAATAAAATAAATTTAATTCGGCGCACATTGCTTTAATTTCAATTTAAACAATAAACAGATGATTTCGAACTTGGGTAAATGTACATTTGATAAATGCGATAGCATGAACATTCTTCGAAAATATATGTTCGAAAGTGCCAAATGTTGCATTTTAAATGCAGCAAAAATGCTGCGTAACTAATGTGACCAACTATTTCATAGCTCAAAGAAGTATAGGAACTAAAAACCAAAAATAGTATGAAAGTAATGAGAAAATGGTAAAAGCAGAATATATAAAAATGGTAACAGTGTACCAATTCAACAAACTAATTTTATTAATTAAAAATCTATGTATACTATATATTATTCTAAGGCAATCCGTTTATTCCCAGCTATCTACTAATCGTACAAGTCATGTATCAAATTAAACTGCTCGATCTGAAACTTTGCAAAGCATTTCAGATTTAAGAATCATTAGACCACTTTTGAAATATTTTCACGGAAAATTTTTTAAAGTCTTACATTGACCAAAGCAATGCTTCATTCATTTCAATAGGCAGCAACTGTGGAGCGCTCTGAATATGGAGTAAAAAGGGACGCCTACAGCAACACCTCGAATGAGTGTTTTCGGAGCGCTCCAAGTGTTGTTTAACGGACTTCACAAAACTGAGGAGGTTATCAGTTCGTCGAAATATATGTTTTTTTTATGTATGTAACCACATTACTTGGGCCCCGTTAACCGATATCGATAATTTTTCATCGGAAAGGTTGTAACTCAGGGGTGGTCCCATACTAATTTTGTTTAGATCAGATAATTGGATCGAGAAGAAATTAACGATAATCTTAAATTTTTATATGAGAATTGAAGTCGGTTTTGTTTTTTGCTTAAAAATTACTTGTTTTTTTATCTAGTCGGTGAATTTAAAAAGAAATTTTCAATCAAGAAGAAACTGATCGTCGTTTCCGAATATTCTTGAAAAAGGACACCGCAAACAGAAATGTTGATGTTATGGAAGTTTCAAATGCTTTTAATGCATAAAAAATTACCTTTGTAATGCCGAATTTCCACTAGGCATTGAAATGACAAAAAGTTGGAGGCATTTAAAAAGTGCCATATGGAAATGAATTTAATGACAATTTTTTGAGGTAATGACAAGAATATTTTTTAATGCCCAAGTTTGTCATTAAAATGTCTGCTAATTAATGTCTAGTGGAAATCCAGCATAACTTTAGAACTTTTCAGGTGTATTTATTAGAAAGTATGCGGGTCCTGGCAAAGAATTCTATAGAGCGGGAGCAAATGGGTTCCAAACCTAAAAGGAACGTATTTTAAACAAGATAAAAAATATTTGTTAGATTTAGGATTCAGGATTTTTCCGTTTTTTTAAATAATTTTTTTATTTAGCGGTTTTCAATAAAAATAAATGTTACAAAAAATTTAATACTTATTAATTATAAACAAAATTAAGAACATTTTAAAAAACCGTAAAGTATCCTTTCCGGTCTATTATCAGAGCACACCGAAAACACTCAACGGAGGATTTAAGGAGTCCTTCTCACATAATCATAGGTGAATAGGAGTCTTTGCTTCTTGGGGCACCGAAATCACTTATTTAAGTAGTCCTAAAGGTACACTTTTTTTTATTTATATGCACTTTTCTCCTGCGAGCATGCTCCTTTGAGACTCTTTTCGCAGCCTCCCTAAAAGCATCAACGCACCGTACGGGAAATCCTAATTGTGCACACCGCGGACTTCGCTGGTATGCTGGGAACAATATTTTTGAACAATTTAATTTAAAAACAAAAAATAACTTAAAAAATCATTGCCGACGAACGGTTTTAAACTCTCGATAAATGTGAAATTATTTCGGTTTTCTTTTGCGTGTTAGAGACTCAAAGACTAAGATAATGTTACGATTTTCCTTGAAACCTCGTCCGGATTTCCCAAATCCCTCAGTTCGTATCGCTGGATTGTTAAATAAATGCAATCGATGACCAACTTGTAGCACAATTAACTTTATTGTACAACAAACAATTTACAATACTAGCTAGTACAGTAAAAACACTTTACAATACTTGTTAAAGCAATAACAGCGCTTAACTAAACTTGGTAACACAATTAAACTTATATCTTGCTTATTCGCAACTCACTTCTCTGCTCACTTTACTTGTAGCTTGCTGTCTTGTAACTAACTCACCTCGCGGTGGCGGCGCCCTTATATACCTGCGCTGGTACTTATGGCAACTCTAGAACATTCTGAAGTTTATCGCTCATTCTCTTTCTCTCGCTGTTCGCAGTGTTCATCCAACT